ACAAGCGTGCATGCGTGTAGATAGATGAATGGAGACAAATGTACTGGGACCTTGTCCTTGGAGTAGAGCAGGGTAATATTTAGTGAAGATCATTCAGGGAAACCGTTATTTTCATATAGTCGGACTTGAGGTCCTTGGAAATGGGAAGTACATATGCCTGCACTTTAAGGAGGGTTTGAAATGAGTAGCAAATATGTTTGTACTTATATGTTAATGCTTCTAGACGTATTAATCAGCACCTCTAGCACAAATCAGTTTATGCAGTGTGGTGAAAGGATTGAAGATGATGATCGTAATTTTCTTTTTGGGGATTCTTTCTTTTTTGGGTCACCCTGCTCGGTGGGAGAACGGCCGACTTGTTGAAAAACAAAAAAATCTTAACACTATTCATCAGTTTCTCACCAAAGTAATAAAAAGCCCAAACAACTATACTACTCCAGTAGATTCACGACACTAGAGGAGATATAAAAAAGACCTGGAAAACACTCTTCAGATTCTAGGGCCCCACAAAACTGAAAAAAACGATTTTCAAAAAAAAAATTTTTAAAAAAAACCCTTTAAAAATTAACTGGTGTTTAGGTCCCCCAAAAACCCCCAAATTTCTTTTTTGGAAAAATTTGTATAATAAAACAGAAAATGAATGAATTTTTTTGGGGTTTAAAAAAATTTGGCCCAAAGTTTTGTAAAATGTTCATAAAATGACAAAATTCTCATACCAACAATAACTAAACAACCAGGCTCCTGAGACAAGTGAACATAAAAGACACTTGGACCAATAAACTAGCCCCCCTTAAATCAGGGATAATCACGATGCACTACAGACCACACCTCCCTTCCTCCTGACAAATATTAGTAACCACCACTTTGAATACAACAAATCCTTTAGACTCCATGACGAGGCCTCAAAAAGGGGAATTCACAATGACCTAGAGATTTTGACTGGCTTACAAATTCTCCAAGGCCAATGGTATTGAGGGACGGGACAGACATTTTTCTTAACAAATTACTTAGACTATACAACAAACATTGTCCTATAAAAAGAAACAGATCAAACAAAGGTTTGGGTTGCCCATGGCTAACAGCACCATTCTGAAATCCATTGACAGAAAACACCAATATGAAAAGCATATAGACAGGGCTTAATACACAAAGATATTCTTAAACACTATTCATCAGTTCTCACCAAAGTAAAAAAGAAAGCCAAAAAAATATACTACTCCAGTAGATTCACAGACACTAGAGGAGATATAAAAAAGACCGGGAAAAAACACTCTCTCAGATTCTAGGACCCAACAAACTGAAAAAAAAAGAATTTTGGGTCCTAACTAAACCTAATAAAACACCATACATCCCACTGACACAGCTAACAAGATAAACGACTTCTTCTCAACCATAGGATCTAATCTCGCCAATAAAACCCCACATACCAGTGCCCATGCCGGGGACTACCTAGATGGGAATTTCCCAAATTCCTTCTATCTTGCACCAACTGAGCCCTGGGAAGTCACCAAGATTATAAAATCACTTAAAAACAACTCAGGGAATCTGTCTAATGTCCCACCATTACTGTACAAGCGAGCGGCCCCATATCCTTTCGCATGCTATTTCATTACTTTTTAACAAGTCACTAGAAACTACACCTTCCCGAAACTACTCAAGAGGGCAAGGTTACACCAATACATAAAGGTGGTGACCCCTACAGACTTAAACAATTTAGGCCAATATCAAACTTACCTTGCTATCCAAAATCTTTGAGAAACTCGTGCACAGGAGACTATATTCTTTTATAACAGCACAAAACATACTCAACCCCTGCCAATTTGGTTAGGAAAAATAAAAGCACTAATGATGCAATCATAAAAATGCTAGATCTGCTTTACACAGCATTGGAAAATAAGGAATATCCACTAGGAATTTTATTGACCTAAGAAAAGCTTTTGCCCACATTTAGACCACGACACCCTTACTCCACAAAACTTGACCATTACGGAATAAGAGGCCATGCGCTTGCTTATTTCAAATCTTACCTTACTAATGTATCAGTATGTTACCATTAAAGACACGCATCAACAACACGGCCACTTGATACTGGAGTTTCCGCAGGGAAGTGTCCTCGGTCCCCTGCTCTTCCTCATATACATCAATGATCTTCCAAACTTTATCCCAACACCTGAAACCCATTCTCTTTGCTGACGACAGACTTGAGTCATCTCTCACCCTAATCTTGCCACCCTCAACACCATTGTTAACGAGGAGCTGATCAAAATATCGACTTGGATGACAGCCAATAAACTTACGCTTAACACTGACAAACCTACTATTTTAAATTTTTTGGGTAGCAGAGCAGGAGATGCAAAAAATTAAACATTAAGATGGACAACACTCTAATTACCAGACATAATGAGGGCAAATTCCTAGGGCCCATACCTTGACAACAACCTGAATTTCAGCACCCATATCCAACACATAACCAAAAAAGTATCCAAAACAGTTGGGATCCTCTCCAAAATACGATACTAAGTGCCGCAAAATGCCCCTTTTCACACTATACCACTCACTTATTTATCCATACCTCACCTATGCTATTTGTGCTTGGGGATCAACTGCAGCAACACACCTAAAACCAATAATAACCCAACAAAAAGCTGCAGTAAGAATAATCACTAAATCCATCCCTGGCAACACCCCCCCCCCCCAACTCTTCATAGATCTAAATTTACTCCCTGTTCAGTACATCCACACTTACTACTGTGCAATCTACATCTACAGGACCTTAAACTCCAATATCAACCTTTACCTAAAATGCTTTTTTGATAGTTGTGACAGAACCCACAGGCATAACCCAGACACAAACATCTCTACGACATTCCCCGTGTCCGACTAAACCTTTACAAAAATTCAATGTATGTCAAAGGCCCTAAAATCTGAACACCCTACCTGAGAACTCTAGAAACTGCAGATACATTCATCACCCTTTAAAACTACCATTTAGAAAACATCTTATCTCCCTGATACACCCATCAACTAACTACACGAATAACCCCCTGGTGGTTCACACTTTCACTCACCCCCTTTGACCATAAACAGAAATATTAATCTCAATCTTAAAATAATGAAACCTATGATACTCCAATACTGAAACTATGTACTGTGCCAAAACAAAAGCATTCACATTGCTAAACTCACAAACTAGTATTTAGTCACTTAGCCATAATACCAACTTACCTCATAATTTGTAATATTTTAAAATAAAGAATTAAACTAAGTCTGCCCGAAATGCCTAGCCATGCTAGGCGTTCTAGTGGTACACTCTGTAATCATTATTTAACTACATGTAAACCACACAACAACCAAATTCTGTAAATTCAACATTGTAATCTTTATAGAGAATAAACTTTGAATTTGAATTGAAGTTCAAAAGTAAACAAATCATGCTAAGTGTCCAATACACGTCAACTGGTGAGTCTAATACATGTATTCTTTCACAAGTGCACTGATAATATTCATACCATTTTTTACACTAATGCAGCTGTCTGCATAACAGTAAATCTTATATTTTTTGTGAGAATAAAAATTCAAAGTGGAAAGCAAAAGAATGTAAGAGAGGCATTGGGACGTGACTAATGAACAGAGGAAATGTCATTTTAGTGCCAGGAAGTCTTTCTTGTTTATTCTGGACCCTAATTGGAAATTGGCGTCTTTTGAAATTTGTGTGAAATTGGCAAAAGTGCTAAATTCTGACCACTGTATTGGATAGTTGAAATTGGTAAATGGGTGGTTTCTTGTACTCATTCAATAGAAAAAAATGGAGTTCTAGCAAAATAGTTATGATTTTTGTTGATTAGTACAGTGGAATTGGCCGAAAATAGGGCTCAAAGTGGGCAAAATCGCAGATGCATAAACATCGTCGAGACCGCTAACTTTGCGAGAGCATAATTCTGTAAGTTTTCCATCAAATTTCATACTTTTGGTGTCATTATGATCGGGAAAAGATTCTCTATCTTTTCACAAGACAAAATAATTTTTTTTTTTTTTAATTTGGGCGACCCTGAGAACAAATCTCTGAGAGGGCCTGTCGACCCTGAAAGAGTTAATCAAATTACCTGATCTTTTATCGTCTTTTTCTTCTGATGTGGCTGTGAAGCAGTTTTGGTTCAGACTCAGCCATGGTTGCTATGTTGATCTCAATATGTCACTCAGCTTTTCTCCTTACCCTTGCATATTCATTTCTGGCTAATCTGCTCACTTGTCTCTTCTCCTCTGCCTTTTGCTTCCTAGTTTTTCTATGCTCTTGTGCTTCTCTGTTTTTTGCCTCTCTCTATCTTTGGTTGAACCCAGAGCATGCTTTGTCTTTTCAATTTCCCATTCTTCATCTAGTATGAAGTTTTCCCTCTGTCTCCTGGAATTTCCCAACTACATACTCCATCTCATCCACTGACTTTCATTCCAGTTCACTTTCCCACTGCACTGTATTCAAAATTTCCCTCATTCCTGCAATGTTCCCTCTCTCATAGTCTCACTTCTTGCATCCTCTAACTTGCCAATTTTCCCTCTATATTTAGTACCACAATTTCAGTGCTGCATGGTCGCTGACGCCCAGGGGACTCTCATACCTTTATTTCTTCGATGTTGGAAGCACTTGCATGTGTGCTGGTTCTGTATGCTTGCTCCAAGCAAAACTGACTGCCAAAAAAATTCTTAAAGTACACAGACTCATAACATAGGTTTATCACACATTTGTTTTTTATGCTATGATTCCATTTCTACTAGTAATTCCGGATGTGCAGCATAAATTTGTTCTTAAGTGACCAGGAATTTCTAAACTGATCACAAATGTGCAAGATGTTGTCAAGCAGGGACTGATTCCTATAAGGAAGAATATGTGCCACTAACCTTGATGTAAAAAAATAAGACACAGGGAAAAAATAGAGTTAGGCCCCAGGATTCTGACACGTGCAAAAAATTTTACAAGAGTAAATTTTAAGATAAATATTCCTTACCTCACATTCTGGCCGCCCTAAGTTCCTGAAGTCGAGTATCTTGTAGAGGGTGGGGGAAGATAAAGTTAGTACTGGGCCCTTGTGAAGGTTATGGTTTATATGTAATATTACTGGAATGTCTTCAAGTGCTGATAGTCATGTTTGTTTGGGAAGAGTAATCTGTAAGGTGTATGTGCTTTGCAGTGATCTCCATGGATTTGTAAAACTGACAATATGGTAAAACACAGTTTCCAAAACATGACTTCAGGTTGATGCATCTATGCATGTTGTGATATGCTTTCATGATATGCTTAGAAATATAGAGGATTCTTTCATATGATTTATAGAGTGAAGTGATGTGCTTTTTCCTCATCCATTTTAATCTTATTAGGACTCCATCATCCCAGCATTTCATGGTCAGTTGGTTCCATGTGATTCTCATCCAACATATATTATACCACTTGCTCTATGTTCTTGAACACCTCACCTCTCAAATTAATCACCATCTCTCTAAGTTCCCTCATCTCACTCCTTAGTTTAGGATAATCTTGAAAAATTACTAACTACAGCACACTATTATTTTTTTCAACTAGAGATTACAGAAGAATGCCTCAACTTATCCATTCATATTCGTAATTTTGAGTGTCACCATGAGATTCTGTTCCAATGCCTGAATAAGGTTCCTCAGTTTCCCCTCATATGCTAGTGAATAAAAGATCACAATAACCCTCTGGCTGAGGTCGTAACTCTCTGGTCAACTCTCTGATCAAGTATTTATGTGGTTAATAACTCCCATAACAAATTGGTTGCACAGTAGCTAACTACTAAACCCCTCTTGATACTGATGAGGAGCTCTTGATCCAATGAACTGGACCTATCCTTGCTTTTCTTGGATTGAACCCAAGAGCTTCCCATTTGTCAGGTGCTGTTTAACTCTTATGGGTTTAGTGCTTCCCCCAAATATAATAACCGTAAGTATGGCAGTTCAGTTTGTCTGGAGATGTCAGGCACATGAAATGTAAAGTGTGAATAGAGCCAGAGACACACCTGAACATTATATTTTAGACTGCAAACACATATTACAAACAGAAATGAATTTATCAATGCTTCAGACTTCTTACATCAGTTAAGTGCAACTAATTTGACATTTTATTGTGGCAACGGTTTGCTCTCCAGGAGCTTTGACAAGCTGTTACGGCTTGACAAAACTCCTGGAGAGTGAAACGTTGCCAGAATAAAATGTCAGATTAGTTGCACCTGTGTCCTTTTACCTAATGTATTGTCGGTAATTCTACCAACATTAATAAACTTTTACATCGGAATTAAATTTGTACATCAATTATTAATCATCATCATGCCAGATGCTCAACCTGTGACATCACATACTAAACTATATCAGGCAATGTGTCTGGTAGAATTATTACTGAAAGAGCCATGGATAAGACAAAGTAGAACTGCAGAGGAGCAGAAAGGAGTGAGGAAAGGAAGGGGATATGTAAAACAAGTGTTAACATTAAGGCATATAAGTGAGCAGTACTTAGATAAAGGTAAAGAAATGTTAGTTGCATTTATGGATTTGAAAAAGGCATATGATTGGATGGATTGAGAAACAATGGTATATACGTATGGAATAGGTGGTAGGTTAATAAAAGTATTAAAAAAAAAAGTATGCAGATAGTGAGGCTCAGGTCAGAGTATGCAGGAAGAAGAGGAACTATTTCTCAATGAAAGTACGACTTAAACAGGGATGCATGATGTCACCATTACTGTTTACGATATTTACACCTGGGATATCAAAGTAAGTGAATGCTGGGGTGTTGGAAAAAGGTGTGGAATTAAAAGACGATGGATCTGATACAAAGTGGGAGTTGTCATAGTTGCACTTCGCTGATGACATCTTTTGGGGGATTCTGAAGACAAATTGCAAAGGATGGTGGACAAATTTGGGATGGACTGTAAAAGTAGAAAAGTAAAAAGTTAACATAGAAAAGAGTAACAAAAAGTCTAGGTAATCTTATACTATCAGATTAAAGGGAGATAATGTGTTCCAATATATTGGAGTGGACATGTCAGCAGATAGTTCTATGAAAAACAATGTGAATAACAGAATAGATGAGAAAAAAGGTAGGTAGTGAGGTCAGGCATCTATATAAAAAAAATGTTTATGGAGGAAAATAAAAAAGTACCAAAGTATAGTGATACCAAAACTTCTTCTATGGGTAAGGCATGAGCTTTGAACACTGAGGAACTGGAGGCAGTGGAGATAATATATGAGAGAAGTGTGTAATGTGAATATTATGCAGAGTTTAGAAACTGAAAAACAGTGTGAGGTCACCAAGAGTATAATACAAAGGTGTTAGGAGAGGTTGCTGAGGTAATTTGGGCTTGTAGAGAGGATGGAGAGGGATAGGATGACAAAGAGAGAAGGGGTTGGGGTCATCCCTGGGGGAGGTGGGGATAAAGGAAGCTTCGAGTTTTAGAGGTTTTATCATCCAGCAGGCTTGTGCAGCATGTTAGAAAGGGATGAATGGAGGAAAGTGGTTTTAAGGAATGTGTTGTTGGAGTGCAAATAAGGTAACACTTAGGAAGAGAATCAGGAAAACCTGTCAGCCAGACTCAAGTTCTGGAGATGGGAAAGACAGTACAGTGCACTCTGAAGGAAGGGGTGGTGATGCTGCAGTCAGTGGTTCATCTGAATTATGATGTCAGCCCACTTCTGGCAAGACAGCAACTGAATGAATAAAATTAAATGTTTCTTTTTTGTGTGTGTGTTTTTAGGGAAAGGGGTCGCCTTGCCTTGGTAGAAGACAGCCATCCATCCTTTCCTAGGTTATCCTAGGAAAGGATGGAGGGACGGGGGTAAAGGAGGTTTTGTGTGCAAGGGGCTTGCTCATACAGCAGGCATGTGAGCATATTAGACAGGAGTAAGTGGAAAAAAAGGGTTTTCCCCGGACTTGCATTTTGGTTGGAATGTGAGCGGAAATATTTTGGAAGAGATTGGGGAAACGGTTAGATAAATTTGAGTTCTAAAGGGGGAATACATGCATGAGCACTTTTTGATGTTACCTTCAAACATTGTTTAGAAGGACATCCAACTGTTGATCGCACACCTCTGGTAAGATTGAAAGATGAAGATGGGAAGGGTGTTTTTTTTTTTGGCCACCCTCCCTTGGGGGGGAAGAGGCCACCACAAAAAAAAAAAAATAACACATTTTTTTGCAACAACTACAAAAATGGGGGTTTTAAAAAATTTTTTATTACTATTCACAGTTCCTTTTTACATCTTCCACTAGCACAAAATTTTGTGAAAAAATTTTATCCAATTTACGGGGTGACAAAAAAAAAAAGACCAGAAAACCCATCAGAATACTGGGAACAAAAAAGATAACACAAAATACGAAATTGAATTAAAAAAACCCAATGAACCCCGTTCCCCCCACTGAAACAGAAAACAGACTCAATGATTTCTTCTCCACTATGGAAAAAAACCTTTGCCAAAAAATCCCACTCAGATACCCCCCCCAAGACTCCCTCCTGGCAACTCCCCCCAACACACTGTTCCTAGTCGTCTAACCCAACTGAACTCCCTTATTACAACAAACTAAAAAAAAAGACGGGAGTTTTTTTTTAAAACCTACCACCCATTATGTCAAAAAAGTGTCACAGGTGCTATCACCAATCACTGGCAAAACTCTTTAACAAATCCTTGAATCCCCCACCTTTCCACAGTTCTCAAAATAGAAAGGGAAACCCCCATTCATAAAGGAGGAGACCACACAGACTTAAATTTAACTAGGGGCCAATACCCAACTTACACTCTCCTCTAAAACCCTTTAAAAAATTAACCATAAGCGTATCTATTCCTACCTCATTCCCACAACATCTAAACCCCTGTCTTTTGGGTTCAGGCCAATAAAAAAACTAAGATCTTTTTACCACATCAGAACATATTTATACAAAATAGAGAAAAAAAGCCCACGGGGATCTTCTTGACGTAAAGTTTTTGATACAGCGACCACACTTGCTCCACATAAAATTGCCCACACTAGGGTATAAGAGGGCCCCCCTCAACACCTAAATAAACCTCAGAAACAGAAGCCAATATTGAAAAAATGGGGCAAACTCTTCTGCACAGCCAATTACTTGGGTGTCCCACAGGGAAGTGTCCTGGCCCCTCTTCTTTTTTCTCATATACATAAATGACCAACCAAAAGCATCGAAACTACTAAAAAACCCCACACTATTTGCAATGACCTACATACGTCTACTCCACCCACCCCCATCATGCAGCCAATACTGAAAAACCGAATTACAAAAATATCAACCTGGATGAGGACCAAAAAACTTACCTAACTTTGACAAAACCTACTACATTCATTTGGGTAACAAACTGCAATGTCTCTTTTAACCCTTTGACTGTCGCGGTCGATATGTACGTCAGGGGAGATACCGGTTTGACGACAACGCATAAATTCTAGCGGCTTCAAATCAGGGGAAAGGGGGCTGGGGGCCTACACGAGAGAAGGTCTCAGGGGTTCGGGTGCACCCTTGAAAAAAATCGGGGACCAGGGGTGCATTGGGGGAAACCCATTTTGGGAGTCCTTTTTCATCATGCCTCGCGTAAAAGTTCCCCCACTCCTCCGGATTGGGGGTCTTTTGTTCCCAATATAGCTAAAAACAGTGATGATATGTCAGTAAAAAGTGAATTCCAGGGTTTTTTGAAGCGGGTTGCCCCAAAAATTACCCGGGATAACTAATTAGTGATGAAAACCCAGAGACCCACAACCATCCACCTCGGGTGTAGGCCGGCCGTTATTTTCACCTTACCGGGACGAAAGAGGAAACTATTTGCCCGTGTACAAGACTCAGAGTGAGCATGCAAGTGATAGGATGTGTTTTAAAGGGTTATTGAAAGCACTTCTAGTTTGACAGTGAGGGTGAATTTTTTTCCCCAGGAAACGCAGTATGTACGACGTCGCTGGGGCTGGTAGTGTGCCATATCTCTTCCAAAGAAGGGAGTACATCTGGGACACATCCCGGGGGCCCAACACCACCCCCGATAGTAAAGATGACGATTTGTTACGAGGGGTATAAATGATGTGAGTGAGGCAGCGGCGGTGGTGGTGATATGACGTGCCATGAGTCATTACACCAGCAGGGGCCACGCTAGTGCCCGCGCGCGACTCGCAAAAATAAAAACCTGCTTCGGCCGACCCCACACTCTAAACAACCAAAAACCACAACCTGCACAACCACAACGACATTAAAATATCCAAACCACCAGCTGACCGCTCTGGTTTGGGGACAAGATGACGAGTTTTTTTCCAATCCCCTGACTTTGATAAAGGCAAAGGGGGAATAAGGCCATCATGTAATTTGGGAACAATCCCACTGAACGGAATGTTTTCAGTTGTTTTCTTCGATAACCCCTGAGGACTTTATTTTCGGGGAAAGAAATACATACTATGATACACCAGGCAAACACTACTTTCCCCAAAGATCACGCCTACACCAGGGGAAGGAC